TTTTGCTTCTTTTTCAACAGCAGAAATCGCAGATGCTTCCTGAGCAATAGGTCCAACTTTACCTGCCAACAACAAGATATCCATCACTCAGGAGAAGGCCAGAGAGCTAATAACTCAGTTTCTGCCAATAATATTTCCTTCTCTCTAAAGCAATTGTTTTCCAGCCCAGAATGTTTGTGACTCAAAAATAAGTCAGAGGAATTGTTAAACTGGCTATCAGTAGCACTGTCTGGTCCAGCTACAAACAGTGTCAAGGACTAGCTATTGCACTGGAAAAATTGATAGTGTTAGTGGATAATCTGCCCATAAAAGCATCTTCTTCTCAAGTCTCTAAGCCCTGATAAATGAGGAAGTTCTTAAAAATTCTTCAGTCATCTGGAGACTAGCCCCAGGTACTGTTATAATTCATATTCTTGGCTAACTCATTTCTTAATCTTTCCAAACTCTTAATTTCCACGACAGTGCACAGCAAGGAGTTCCACAGGCTTATTCTGCTCTGGGAGTGCAAGCAAATCTAGGAATGGGACTACTGAGGATGCAGGAAAATGGAAATAAAATATCTTGCATGGCAAGGCTCACCTCAGGCTTGCTGTGGAGTTAAAAGTAACTAGTCTAATGTTTTTCAACACTGAGAAGTCTTAAAGATCTTTTGCCAGTCCTCACTGTCAGCACAAATATTGCTCTAGCAATATTATTAACTATTAGATAGGAATCAAACCAGTGCTTTATGTTCTTGGACTTGTAAACCAAGAAGGTGGGATTCTGGTGGGGTTAGTATTTCTCTTCATGCAGCCTAACACAAGCCTGTCATCCTCACAAAGGATGGAGGAATACAGGTAATGCCCCTTGTATGGCTTTGAGCTACTATTTAGACAAGGCCTCCTCCATCCATCTGTTCAAGATTAATGTCTTCAGACAGACAGCCCAGAATGAGGCTTCACTGAATGCAGCTCTGAACAGATGCAGCTCTCATTTCTTGAGACATGGTTCATGAGCCTTTCAACATTGTCTCTCTCCATTCATTTCAACCCAAGCAGCACTTCATTTCTGTGTGTAAGTAAAACTGAGAAAATTCAAACTTTTTCTCATACTTGATTAGTCTGTGCACGGCATGTGGCAGGAATGATGAGACTGCTGTGCTCCAGCACAAGAACAGAGGCCACATGGGGACTTAAGCAATGTTAAGTACAAGAAGCTTGATCTTGCTTGTACTGAAATCAATGAGAAGTGTCCATCAGCTCTATCAGTCACACTCCTGAGCAAAGCCAAAGAAGTTCCTTATCTACACTCAGGAGATCTGTGGTCTTTTAAAAATGCTGGCTCATTGGAAGTTCTTGCAGGAGGCAAGCTATACTTAGGACTACTGGAGGAAGCATACTCTCCATTAAGAACAGGATGCAGCTCAACACCGAGTCAATTTTTCAGAAGTATCTCAGGTGATGCAGGAATTTAAGTGCTACTCATTTTTTTATTTTGGAAATTAATTTCACATTTTAGACTTCCTTCTTTGTAATAAGCAAAAGCAGCTCTAAAGCCCTTTGCATACTCCCAAGGTAAAACAAAGCCCAAATGGTGGCTCAAGCTTATTTGAGGGAAGACAGGCTTTGGGACAAAGCTCACCATGCTTAGGGTGAAGTGGGAGAGAGAAGAGGCAAAGCTAAATCATCTTCCCTTGGCTATGACAGAGGCTGCCACACAGCAATAGCAAAACTTAGTAAAGTAAGGATTGGATTTTCTGGAATCCTCTTCCAAACTTAGCTGACCTTGAGCTGTCCTGGCTCTTGCTGTTGTGTGCAGGACGTGTGCATGGCACAGAAAGTCTCAACCGTCCGCCAAGAAAACAGCGAACAGCATAAGCCAAAAAACACAATCCAGATTAACAGCTCCTCTGGATACTAAATCTACATCCTTCCCACCACCAGCACCTTCAGCTAGACAGATTCCTGGCTGTGCTAGTGGGAACCAACATGAGTAGCAACATGCTTTGAGGAGTTCTGCATTTTCACTGAGGACTGTTAGGCTTCCAAAGTTTAGATGATTCAGCACACAGAAATCTAGTCTGTGCCAGCCTTTCAAAGGAAGACCTTCTAATGTAAGCAAAATTCTTGGCCTGTTTACCTTTCATCTCTCATTTTGCACCTAAAGCCATCAGACAAAGCTGGCCTGTAACAGAATCCTTTTTAAAAACTATTGTATTTTCATCACACAGAGTTAGGCTGGCAACTGACATCAGAACCTCTGTGTTGGTGGACATCCTCACCTGGCCAGCTGCCTGTAGAAAGGGAGAAATCTTATTTTGTAGGATCTGTGGATTCAAAAATGGAAAACAGCTCTATAAATAGCCACTACAGGGTGCAGACACAGAGGTACCCCCTAATATCTCCAATACAACAATTCTGGATGCTGCTGGATTACGAGGGGAATGTGTCCAGGGGTATGTGCTCTCTCCAGAGAGCACCTCTTACTGACAGTGTCAGCAACAGGAACCTGGAATGCAGAAGCCACTGATCTGACACAGTGGGGCATTTCTTACCTTCTTAGGCAGTATCTGAAATCAATAGCATTCAGCCAGCACAATATGCTTTTACAGCTGAAGGACTGGCTTATCTCTATGTAGCTGGAGCGTGCCTCTGAGGTTTGGCACCACACTGAGTAAGCAGGGAGGGATAAGCTGCAGCCCAGCAGTAGCCTGGGAGGAGGCATGTGAGTCACGATGTCTGAGTCACGCTCTGCCTCTGCAGCCTTCTTACAGAGAATCACAGATAACCGGGCAGGAGAGGGGCCATCGAGCCCCCGTGTTCACCTCAGGGTGGAACTGACTCTACCTAAATTATTCTTGATACATGTTTACCTATTAAAGAGCTCCAGCAAGAGAAACAGCACACACTCTGTAAGCAGCCTATGCTGTTCCACACTTCATCACTCCTATTGTTAGAAAGTATTTTCTCATGTCTAAACTAAGCCTCCCTTGGTGCATTTTAAGCTCATACTGGCCATAAAGACTAGTCTTGTCCTCTGCAGCAAATTAAGTTGTCTTCTCTAGACTAAACAACTCCACTCCCATCGGTATTTCCTGGCTGATTGGAGGTCTGGAAGACCTGACTTTTTTTGCTGCTCTCTTCTGCACACTCTCCAACGTCAGCTGCTGTTGTTGAGTACTGACCTTTGCCAATAATAAATCCCCATACTGTTCATGTGTCATTCCATGAACTGGCAGTGGGGACAGAAGTTCCTCTCTTGCTTTCTCTGCTGAGTGAGCAAGCCAATATATTGACTCATATGCAAACTATAGTCTGAACAGGCCTTACATAATGTGTGCTGATCATCAAAAAGGTAGCTAGCTCCCCCCATTGCCTACTACTTACACCACTTACTGGTGTAAACCGCAGCTGCTATGTAAAGGTGTAAAGAAAGAGAATACCTGCTGCAGTAGACACACTGGTCTTCATTTGTGTTTTTTTGTCCTGAGAGCTCAGGCTGGAAGGCATATTCCTCTTCAGTATGTTCTCACCAGTGCAGAACCCTCGCTATGAAAGGGGAAGAGAAGAATGCAACTAAGAAACCTGCAAACCACTGGCACTCTTAAGATTGTTCTGGCAACTTCTCTAAACCTGACTGTGGAAAAGCAGCAAAAGCCAGACAAGGATGGTTGGGGGTATCCTGCAGGTGGAAAAGAGAAGGCAAGAAGGAAGATAGCTGCTACAAATATAGGGTTACTTCACATGCAGGCAAGTTATCCTCTGTCTCTTACATATGGAGAATTGAAGAACTTGCCCAAGCTGCAAAAGAAACCTGTGCAAGAGCAGTGGAAAAGCCAAACTTTCAGTATGCAGTCTCCAGAGCAGAGCAGTGAATGTGGTCTGTATATCACTAACAAGTGAGGAAACTACTGCAACTCAAAGCAGCTCTTGGGTAATAGGCAAGCGCTGAAAGGGTTCAGGCAAAGGAACGTATAGGAGGATCCAGCTCTGAAACTAAACCCTGTGACAGGATAGTCACCAACATCTGTTTGCCAACTTCCATCAGTTTTTTTGTCTCAATACATTTTAGAGGCCAGTTTTGAAAACCTGTCTTTGAGTAGTGCTTACAACATGCCTCCCATGAAGATGACACTGAATAGTTTGCAGAAGTACCCAGGCAATCTGGTGCAGGATTCACACCCACGCAACATTACATGGTACTCTACCTCCTCTTGATCCACTTTGGTCAAAGCTTTGTCTTCAGCTTTATGTTCTTTGGCAAGAGGGTGGTCCTGGAAACCTTTTTGTTTTAATTTTGCCATGGAGACCCAAGCTGGTTCAGAGGAAGCAGTTTCCAAATGTGGAGAGGAGAGTTTTTCTACAAAAGAAGCATTTTTGAAGTAAAGAAGGGATTTAGGTCAAGTCAGTCTAAAGCTAGTGTTTTGTGTTTTAAATCCTTCAGCATCTGTAATACCCTTTCAACACTGGAGATAAAATTACCTTCCCTGATAATTTTGTCCTTGGTAATAACTGTTTTTCTGTTTATTCTGGAGTTTTTGACCTGAACCTGCTTCCACTTAAGTCAATGGCAGAACTCTCACTGAGATCATTGTGAACTGGATTTTGCCTTTGAAACAACATCATTACAGTGCAGATCAAATGAGTATGATAACTATTATTTTTTCATGTAGACAGTAAAATACAGGCTTCCTTTGCACTTTTAAAATATTTCAAATTAAGTGATTGTAGGGGGAAAAAAAAAAAAAAATCACACCTAATGCAACTCCTAGTTAAGGTTTGAGCTGCTGCAGTCTGAAAAATTAACTACAAAACAGCACCAAGCTTTAAAAAACTGTGTTAAAACTCCAACTATATGCATAATTAGGTCATATCAGAAATGTTTCAGAGGCCCTTAGGCTATTACTCTGTTGTTATTCTTCCTGTAACACACGCCTCCTTAACATAAGCCAAGAGTTCTTTTGACTAGCCAAATCATCAAGCCAATTAAATTACGGTGCTGATGAACTCATGGTTGAATTTGGTCCTCATCAAGAGAATTTTTATCTTTTGTTTGCCACTCTGCCAAGGTTCTTACACAACCACTGTTTTCTACAATGTCTGGATAAAAATACAGCATAAATACCTGGAGGTTTATGAATATTTTGCTTCTTTGCCACTTCTTCTGATATTGTCTTGGGAGGAATTTTGTCTTCAAGGAGATCTGGTTTTTTAACAAATAATTTTGTGCTGCCAGCAAGGCCTGGAGGTGGCTTCTTGGTGCCCACTGATTTCTGATCCTCCTTGACTGCAGCAGAAGAAGCAGTGGGAACCACTGAGGGGATCAGCTTTGGAGACTCAGCACGACTTTCATTTTGGTATTTTAGTAAAGAAGATGTTCTCCTTAGTCTGACCCCAAATGGGTTTTCAACAATTTGTGCTTCATTGTTAGCCCACTCTACAGAAGAATTCAAATGCCAATCATTGCCCTTACAGTCTTGATCAAATCTATCCGAGTTGTTTTTTTCTGATTCCTGGATGACTACATCAAAACGTGTGTGTTCTTTTGTCACTCCTTCAAACCACTCTGGTCTTATAGGGGACGTTGGGGAACTTCTGTTATAGGAATCTTCCTTTGAATTTGAACCCCCTGAGAGAGATCTTTGCCATGCTGGTGCAATGGTGAATCTGACTGGTTTGGCAGAAGCAGTCTTCAGTGGGCTTTTTACATTGTCAGCTGAAGGTCGACTGCCTTCCACAGTCTTTCTGTGAGAAGCTGTACCACTTATCTGGTACTCCTTACTGTCATCATCAGAAGATATTTTACTCTTCAAGCCAGCCAGACTTGAAGAGATGAGACATCCAATGGAAAGCTTATCAGAAATGTATGTGTTGGCCTGCTGACTGCCTTGGTCACCCTTTGAAACAGAAGACATTTCCAATTTACTGGGAGGTAGCATGCCATCTGCTTCTGAGACAGATGCAAGAGTGTCTATTTTTTTTTCTGTGTTGCCTTTGGATGACTGAGATTCCATGCTTTCACAAGTTTCTTCATCATTTCTTATTGAACTGTTTTCAGGCTTCAAAACAGCCCCTGTCTCAACGTCAGAAGAGGACTCTGAATTGGCTACTACAACTTGTGAAGCACTTGGTGCAGTGTCTGACTTCACATGGTTGGAATGATTCTCAGCAGTACCAAAGCAGGCTTCAACTTTGCCAACAAACAGTGCATCCTCCTTTTCCCAGTCTTTGAGGTTTGGGTCCACAGAATTTCCTGAGAACCTCTGTGTGACATCTGCCAATATATCTATGCCCTCTGTTTCCAAACTATTGCTAAACGAGTCAGCTGCCAGTATATCTGGAAACACAACAGCTTCTCCTTCAATTTGTTGCAATTTTGAAAGTGCAGGTACTTCAGGATTGGCAGTTTGTTGATGTAATTTCCATTCATCAGCAGATTCATCTGAACAGTACGACCCTTTCGCACTGTGGTCTTCCTCCAGGTTCACTGGAGAAGCCTCAGGTCTCAGGAGGGATGCAGCTGCTGTAAAGTGATGGTCTGTGGCTGGAAGGCACGCATCCTGTTTTAGCAAAGCACAAGAGTCTTCTGCTAAAAGTGTGGAATCACAAGAGTTGTGGGCAGCATCACTGGCACTTTTTACACCTGGCACCTCCTTAGAACCACCTTGCTTTGCACAATATCCCTCCTGGGCCAATAATCCTGCATTAAACAGAGAAGAAGAGTGTGCACTTGAAGGTCACAATTCAAGCCCCATCTGCATCAGTAACTCATTCCAGATAGTGTACTCATTTAGCATGAGTTCCCCATGTCTGGGCACCATTGTCTGATAAAATAAGGCTGTTAAAAGCATATTTAGAAATGGGTTGTCCCAGTGAGGAGACTAAGAAAGCTTTCAGTTTGAACAGGAACAACTGAAAGTTGTCTGCTTAAGGTGTACCAATTCAGTTGCTGTTCAGTTCTTTTCTGTGCATACCCGTAGCTGTAAGACTACTGCCCAGATTTCCCTGACACTTCTTCATGTGTATGCATAGAAACATTGCCTAGAACGATCTGGAGCGTTTTCTGTATCTAAGAAAAACATCTCACTCTCAGGTAGCTCTGCCTCCTGCAGCTCCAAAAGGGCTGCTGAACATCTGGATAGCTGAGACATGTCTGCATACAGAGTAGCTCTGATGTGTGACAGCATCAGGTTTTGAGTCTGCCCTGACAAGGTGCCAACATTCCCACTACACTATAGCATTACCATCAGCCAGTGTGTTTGTAATGCAGTGCTAAAGAGAAAAGTCTTCGCTGCTGTTTTTGGAGAAATTTCATTTGTTTTTACAATTTACAATTACAATTCTATTACCACTGGCAGTTAGCTATTATTCAAATTATAAAGGGGGAGGTGGCAAAGGAAGACCTAGTAAACACAAGCCCATTAAAAGTCATCTTACACATACGACAGATACAATCCTAAAGTGAATTTTTTTCTGAGTTTCCAGGATCTCGTGTCCCCAGCCAATGAGATCCAGCCAACTGTGTAGCACAGGTACTTCTGAACATGGTACTTTCATCTCATGTACTTTTTAATACTGCCCTCAAAGCTCACCACTTGAGCCCCAGTGTGTTGTGTGGAGTGCGTGACTTTCTCCATCACAACACTTTAGCAGCCAGGATTTGCTTTATGATACAAATGCAGAAGACTCCTAGTTTGAAAGGCCTTACAATTCAAACAGGTCCTGTCAGACTTCTGTTGAGTTCAAGCACCCAAAGTAGCAATGCATGTGTCTTCATTACCTTCCCAATCACTTTTATGCCGGTCACTCTCAAGTAGTTCTGTTGAATTTTCCTTCTTTTCTGGAGTTGCAGGAAGACATGCTTCACTTTCCAGCTGTTCCACCTAATAAGGTGCAGTAAGATTAAAAGTTAAATTAAAATATAATGCACAAAACATCTATTTTATATACACACATGTTTATGAATACCCAAAGCTTAGAGAGAATGCCCCCATCTTGTAATTTACCAACACTGTAGGTAATGTGCTAGTCTAGTTAAGAACCTAGAAATCATTCATGTTTAAAATGTCAAAGGCAGCCCATTGGTCTCTCTTGAATCTGAATCATCCTGGTTTGACATATTCTGAGTGAACAACTAAGATTTTAAGACATCACCCAAGCTACCCGGTGGCATAGAAGAGACCAAGCCAGAGAAATGAACATAACTTCTGGTATCCCTGATTGACACTCCATAATTAGCTTTTCTCCTCAGCACCAGCTGCAGATACTGCAAAGATACTGTAGGGCCCAAGTTTCCAAGAAAACCTCATTCTGTATTACATTCATCCTGAATTTCTCCTCCCCCACCTCCCTCTCCCAGGGCAGGGCACTTCAAACTCCAGGATAGATTTTCATTCATGATTCTCTGATGGAGAAGGGAACAAGCAGTAGAGAAGCATTACTCCTTATTCCTGTCACACTCCAGCTCAACAACCTTTTCTATCTAGTGAACTTCATCTTCATAACGTGTTTCCTAGAAGCCAGGATGAGAAGCACCTCCTCTTAATTTCCCACATGCAGAGCCACATTCCTTCCTAAAGTCCTTCAGTGTTTTCTTTAACAGAAAAAAAATTAAGTTAAAGCTAATCTGAAACTGTGGAAATAGAATTCCTTCAAACTGAAAACTAGCTTTTCAAACAACAGGAATGTTTTTACAAATGAAGTGTAACTCACAACTTTTTTGGCTTAAATAATAAAAAAAACAAAGTTGCACTTTATATGACATTGAAGTTTCTCAAGTCTTTTTTGTTGGTTGGTTGGTTGATTGATGGGTGGAAAATACAGGGTTTCCCTTCTTCAGTGGAAGAACAAAAGAAGTAATGTGGATAGGAAAGAAAAGAAATTTAAAACAAAACCAAAATAATAATGAAAAATTCCATTTCCTTGCACAGAGTGATTCTTTCCCAGAAAACACTGACCTGGGGGGGTTGCTGGTTCTTGCTGGTGAAGCCCTTCTGCTTCCGGGGGTTTATGGCAATCCTGTGCCTGGCTGCTGAGGTGTCCAGGCAGCCCAGGGGACTGGCAGGGGTGGTGAAGTCAACGGGAAGGAAGCTGCTGCCCCGTGAGCTGGGGGCCCCCAGCGTGGCAGGGGAGGAAGGGCTGATGGGCCTGGAGGAAGCTCCAGAAGGTATCTGTAAAACACAAAGGCTTCACTCTACATTTTGCTTGGCTTCTCTACATACCTGAAACAATTGCTAGTTCATTCCATTTCAGAAGCCTGAAACAGCTACATTTGTTTACATAAATTCTCACTTTAAACTGCACTCCTAATACAATCTCTGCATAGACATTCCTCAGTTCTGTGTGTTCAGTTGTATGCTACACGAAAGTGAGAAATGCCTGTCTCTCCCTCTCCCACAGCTTGTCCCTGTCCCAGCTCTTATCTGAGAAACCATTTGCAATATATGCACGCACCAGTAGGAGACACTGGTGCAGTTCTTATAGCTGCCTTTTCATTCCAATAATGTGACACATTGCAGGAATTTGTTATTACAAAGCCACAGAACAAGCATGGATGCTTGCTCCTCATTATCTCTATTTCTAAGAAAGTTATCATAGGCACTCTGCTCTTCTAACGTCCACTCTCCCAGGAAAATAAAATATTTTTCTCCAATAAGCACCCCAAAAACTTCTTCCAGACAGTGATGTGGAGCTCACCCTCACAGCAATGCTGCTCTGGGGAGCTAGACAGCAACAGCTTAGTAACAGTAACCTTAGATTATGCCACCAAAATAAAGGGTTTACAGAAGTGTTTGTAGAGAAACTCCTAAATGTGCAGTTTGACCATTTTTGATACTGTTTTGAAATGGAGAACAGACTTTCTGGAACACTGGCAAAATTTCAGACATGCCAAACAAGCTTCATTCAACATAATGTACCTGCTGGTTTGGCTTTGGCCATAAATCTAGGTGAAACAGCCATTTAACTGTGCTTGGCATTCAGATTTTAGTTTTGTTTAAGCTTAGGATATAACAGAGCATTTAAAATATATGATAAAGTTTTAAAGATAATGAGAACATCCTCCTATCTAATCTACAACAATTTTCTATGTACATTGCTTTGTGTTTAAGGTAGCTAAAATTAACTCCCTTATTCTCCACTGCATTGTTTTAGCTCCTGGATCTGAAATAAACCACAACAGAATGTATTATGACAGATACAGAATCTTCTCATGAAAAATTTACACATTGTGAAAGAGAGAAAGAAGAATACAGCTAGTAAATAAGCTATGTCTTGTTATAATTCTACAAGATTAATGATAAACCTGTAAGGATCACTAGAACTGACAAAAATAATAACATTCTTACTCATTTCTACATGCAAGTTCTTCTGCCTTTCAATTACAGAATTACCAGTTGTGTTTATTTAATATAATAAAAAACCCTGAAGGTAATATCTGAGTTACTGCTGTATATAAATGGCAAATTTCCTGCTCCACTCAGGGTTCAGGATATTTTTTTTCTCTGAGCACTGACAGTTGGTATCTTATGTCAAAGACAGTAGAGCAGACACAAGATTTGCACATCAGTGTTTAAATTCAAGATAAATTTGGTGCTTCTTGGTTATTGGGCAGATGAAGGAGCGTGCACAAGGAGAATGCTGCAGGTAGGAGGCCCGTTTCCTACAGAGTGCTTGTGCCAAAACACTGTCCTCAGCCCCACAAGCTGACACCCTGTTTTGCTTTTAATCAGTGTGGGCTGAAGGTGCCAACAAGGAAGTCAGAACTTGTCAGGGCTGTCTGCCAAAGGCAGGGTCATGCTGGTTAATGGCTGTGAACTCGCTGCTCGCTTTGAGCAATAGCCTCACAAGTAGCTTTAGATTAGTCAGAAAGTGGGTATTTATAAATGTGGGAGGCACTGAGAAGATAGATACACGGGTGACACATCAGGGTTTCACAGAGGTGACAGCAGCATGAAGCTCTTGGAAAGCCAAGTGAAGCAGCACAGGGCAAAGAAATGAAATAACTACCATCTGTAGAAAGGTTAATACAATAGTAAAATCTAAACTACTACACTGTGTGTGACCAGACTGCTTTGGATTAAATCCCCTTTTTCCTTTACTAAATATACAACATTGTTAAATGGAATATCTGGTGTAGAATTCCTGGTGCTTTTTCCAATTTTCCTCATCTTTTTGATGAGTTTATTCAGTTTATCAACGCATGTTCTATTAGCTCAAATCCTGGTATTACATATCTAGTTTCAAAAGCTACTGGTAAAAAAAAAAAATATTAAGGAAAGGGGTTTTTTTACTTTACATAAACACATGGGCAAGATTTCTGCTAAGTCAAACCACCCATCGAGAAAATACATAGTACTGCAGAGAATCTAGCCAGATTCCTAGTGAGCTGGGGAGAAAAAGGAAGTGCCTTTAAGTGGGGAATTCTGTGCAATATAGCAGAAAGGAAAAAAAAAAAAAAAAAGTCTCCTGTTTTTCTTTCTTATAGGAAATTTCTTATAGTAAATGAGGTTATAAGACTGAAAGAGCCCAAAGACCTCAGAACTGGACAGAAAAGGGCTTTTTGCATTGTAAGGAAATAACAGTATGCAGGCTTACAGAATGGAGCATTTTAGTCAAAATACAAATCAGATGAGTGCAAAAGATCTAGGAATGACTGAAAGGAGTGTGTTCAATCTCAACAAAGGACAGGAAAGTTGAGCTGGTCTTGCCCAAAGGTTGCTCTCCCCCTTCTCAAAGGCTGGCCAAAGACAGAATGAAAGGGAATCTTCCTCAGCAGCAAGGTTGGAACTGTTTGACCCTTAAGATGCTACCCTCATTGCTGAAGGCCCTCTTCATAAAGGAAGGAATCTTACAGGTACCCTGCTGCCTCCCCTTCATTGTAGGCTATTCTCAGTCTCACAAAGGGTTAAACTGTGTTCTTTCTGGTGAGCTTCTCAAACAGAGATTCTGTATGGAGGACTGCAAAGCTTGGACCAAAATGGCTTGTAGCTGTTCTGCATGCATAAATATTCCCCTTCTGAGTTAAATGGCAGATTACTTTGCTTATACAATTGCACAGGCTATCCCATGAATCAAATCAGCTCTGTTGGAGCAGTGGCTGCCTTTGTCGCTGCCATTTGAAGACCCCATTGGCATAACTGTGATCTGACTGGTCTTTCAGACATTATATTAACACTGTACAAAGGCAATATCAGCAGATCTTGCAGGCCTGTCTTGAAAACATGAGATGGGCAGGAACTCTACACAGCTTCAGGCAGCACAGACAGTCAAGGTGAAGGTCCCCAGGCTCCTCTCCAAACATATGACCTCGGTAAATTTTTCTGAGCTGGTCAAGGAATAGATTTTATTGGTCTGGCAGCAGAATCTGTGGCTTCAGATGGTCACTTATAATCCAAAGAAAATTGTAAATTAACACAGACCTTTTCCTGTGAAATACCTGACATCAGAAAGGGCTGATGCTGCAGTTATTTCCCATGATAAGAGAGATGCAGGGCATTGCTCACAAGGCACTGCTGATGGGCAGGTGTTATTAAGCTGTTACTGTTGTTGGGTGTTGGGGGCCCTGGAACCTGGAAGTGGACCTGAAGTGCTTTGCCTTGTACAGTTTTCTGTTGTGCAACTTTACAGATTCACACCATGTCACAGAGCTGACTATGTTATTCACACAAACCACTTACCAGTAGATTTCTGCCTCTATTTGGTTCTTACTCAAAACTCTGTGAGAGTTACATTTTCAGTATCATTTGCATTACTCTGGACCATTTATTAATTGTTTGCTTAGATACACTGTACCTAGAATAGATATTTTTATATAGTACTAGATCCATAAAGACACCACACATGCTGCCTCAGGAAAGTTCATTAGCAGGAAAAGTAGCTTTTTACCTGTTCATCTTCACTGTCTGTCCCGCCTAAACTCAAAGAGCTATGACGCTGAACAGGGTTGGAGGACTGTGGGATAAAATAAGGAAGAGGGTAAGTCAAGGGAAGCATTACACTGAATTATCTGGGACTGGATATCCAGTTACAATTATGAGAAAACACAAGAGGAAAGATAAAGGGAGGGTCACTGAGTCTCTGCGTCACAGAAGAGGTTTCATTTGTTCACTGTGGGTCAAACATAGTAAGGGAGATTTATCCTGCTATGAGACAGGCCATGAAGGTTGACCACATGAGGCAACATGTTTTATAAAGTTACTTTAGGTCACTGTTTTAAGATCTTCAAATTTACAAATGTTCATATGTTCACTCAGGTCCACAGTCATGTATCTGTTGTGAGAAGGCAATTTCAGAAAAGAGAAGATAACTCAAACACCCTCTGAGTCCTATCAGGACCTGTTCTCCTCAGACTCACAGAATTGTCACTTTCCTGTCAATTCAGTTTACATTGCCCTGGTTTTGAGCTGTTCCGTTCCAAAACCAGTAATTGTTTAAGATTCTCATGTGGTTCCTGTTATTTTTGTTTTCCTCACAAGCTTTAAAACACCCAAAAACTCTTCCTCTTTCACCAGTGCAGGAAACTGCCAATCTTTTCAGCTTTTTGAAGTTGGAAGATGGGGGAAGTTCCTCTGTGCAGTGTGAGTACCTCAGCTTGGAAGTGGAACAGTCATGGTAACACAACACTCACCCATGGATAATTGACTTTTTTATGCTTCCTGCCACACAGACCTGCCAGGAGACACTGCCTTCCTGGAAGGCACTGAGAGTTGTCATCAACTGAATTTCTCCCCTCCTTGCCTAATGATATAGGTCATACCTGCCCCAGCACTGCATTAAAGCACAGAGAACTGTACTCAGAAGGGGTATTTGTAAGGCCACTTCCTAGGTATCCCTCACTATGACAAGTCCACACTCCACCTGATTAATCTGTTCTAGTTCTGACTGATCTGTACCATCAGATTTTATCACAAGGAAGCAAAAAAACCCTTTTCCAAGAAGATTTTTATCGTTTCTGTACAGGTGGTCACTAGAGTGACATAACAATTATACCTTGCTTGGTGAATCTGTCAGAACTTCATGAAGGGTTGAAATTTCAGGAGGGCTTCTAGGTAAACCATCATCTTCAGAAACAGCACCCGCATCTTCCAGTTTCTTTCCAGTTATAACAAGAGGAGGTGATCCGAGTCTGATGTTCTGCTGCAGCTGAAGCTGTGATTGAAAGGAAATTTAGAATAGAGACTTGGGCATTACTGATAGGGGACATTTTGGACACTTTTACCCCAGTTGCTCCCATTAGGCATGCAGAAGCTCTCAGTTAACAGAAATATTTGAAGAAACAGATTGTTTACAGAAAATAGCAATTAATAAAATTTTATTTAGTTATATTCATCAAGGACACATCATTAGAACTGGCTTTGGTACAAAATCAAAATAAAAATCAGTTTTATTCAGTAAGTTACCAATGACAGAAATGTCACAATTCCAGAAAATTACAGCAGTTTAACTCAGTTTAAATTTAAAACTTTAAAAGTTCCAGATTTACTTATTCTTTAAATAATTACATGTATATGGACGTCCAAAATAGTCCCACAAAGTATTGTTAGTCAGTAGTTCCCAGCCTCAGGTTTATGTGGCCAGCATGCCTTCACAAAGCCCTTCCAAATATTGGGAGCTTGTCATCACCCTCTCCCACACAAATAGCTGAGTCCCACTTTTTATACAAAGAAAATTTAATTCAATTTCTGGTCCACCCTAATGAATTGCTTGTTAATATTCCCCAGTTTGACATCCTGGTCCTGTCTACAGCAAGAATGATAGCAGCAGCCAGGAACAACTTCAGCTGTAACAAAGGTTGGGGATTCTTTTCCAAGACTGCACTGGCAGGCCCTGACCCTAGAAAAATAAAACAAAGTCTGCAACCTCACAAGCAGCCAGATGTTCCCTCAAACTAAAAAAGTTCAGATCTCAGGAAACACCATTACAAAAATTCTTGGCTTCAGTCTGTCAGCTATGTCAAAGCTGGACTAGAAACAAGTCTAAGCAGAAACTTTGTCATTCAACCCAAAATGTCTCAACTGAATATTCCCAAGATAAATATGCAGACCTGTTTCTTCAAGGTTTTTTCCTTATTAAACCAGACTGGGAAATTCTAGGCCTAATTCTGTACTCTTGTGCAAGCTATGCGTTCATTTCCATCTCTATAAAATAAATTTAAAAACTTGTCATTCATACTCAGCAAGATTCACTCTGAATCTAATTCCTATAGATCTAACAGCCACACAGGGTAGCACAATGTCACTCAAATCCAAACAGCTGCCTTGCCCTCTTACTCACAACAATCAAAGAAGTATCACCCATACAATCTGCAAAAGCAGGACTGATGACAAACTGCACAAAGACTTCAATATATGGCCTATGGGAAGGAAAATACAGAAAGTCAATCTTGCTTTTGTCTCTTTTCACAGCTTCCTATCTTTCCTTCCTTAAATTTATTACATGCAGACGGCAAAGTGTTGGGGAGGAACTCTGAATTTACAGTCTGTCTTCTACTGGTAGAAGTTGATTTATATTGCTAAGAAAATAACAGCTTTTATTAGTGCTTGGCTTTTACTCTGACAAGAGTCGAGCTCACAGAAAAAGGCTGCCTCTTCTGGCTGTAAAGACAGTGCTGGCAGCATTATGTTACCATGCAGGATGATGGGTGGATGAAGAGAGGGCACAGTGGCCTGGAGATGGCATGAAAAGAGTTTTTTTTCCCCAATCAAGTTCTGTCATATATAAACATGACTTCTCCTGTTTTGTTACACAAAAAAATAACCTGAATTGAAGCTTAGCCTATTTTACAGTCTTATGGTGGAACAAGTCCCTCTGTGCATCTTCTGTTACTTAACATGTGATGCAATTGTGTTTTGCAACATGGAGCTCACACTGCGCAAAGGAAGAATTTCAATGGCCTTGGCTGCCTTATCAACGGTTTGTTTTCAGTCTCTGGATAAACCTTAAACTTTTATCTCAGTGCTCTAAGCTGGGCAGTTATTTAAGTGCAATTAATATAACCAACAGTTGATAAGGGAGCTGTCAAGGAGGGTTCAGTATGTGCCTTGGAAGAAGGAAATGATCTAGCAGAATACAGTATCCTTTGCTGGCAGAGATGGGAAGAATAATGATATAAATAAAGCTGTCACTAAGAGTGCCCTGACGTACCCATCATCCCACACGCTTACAGCTGCTGGTGCTAGCATGTACAGTATGAAAACCTCCTAGCCAGAATTGCCAAAAAGAAAAACATATAAATAATATATAAAGAAAAACAGTGTAAGGGACATGCTACAGCATAAATAAATGGCTTTAACCCAAAAGCAGTAGCTATGAAGTAAAGAATGGAAAGCCCATTGGAAGAGGACGTGTTCATTGAGGAAAGTTTCCAAGAGTCCATGAACTGGATTCACATCACTCACACACTATGAGACCTGGGCAAGGCTGAAAGCACCAGGACTGCACAAAGTTGCAGCTTCCAAGAGGTAGCATAGATCCAAAAGTAATAAATCTGGCTTTGGACGCTTTAGTCAACAAAATCTTAAGGCACCCAGCAAAGGAATCAAGCAACAGAGTTTCCTAGGAGACAGCTAATACAAAGCACCATGAATGAGGGGACCACGTTCTCACCTGCAAAGTTTTCACTCTTCCAGGTATGTTTTCCTGAGACAATATGTCACCTGCCACTTTTCCTGGTGCAGAGTCAAAAATGAAGACGCTGTCATGGGACAAGGCTTTGTTTCCCATGCTTCCTTTGGGCCTGGGAGGGAAGGAAGGAAGAGTGGTCAGTGCACTGGTTACAGCCCCAAACACCTCCCTGCACTACTTCACCAGGGCAGAAGGACCACAGAGACCAGGGTGTGATGCCTCTCGTTTAACTTTAGATTTGTGTGAACTGTCTAAAGTAGTCACTGCTAGCTCCTTTTACACTCAGAAGGGAGGAAGGAACAGTCTTTAGGATACTGATGGAATGCAGGTTTCTCTTTTCAGATGTACTCAGCATCTGCACTGAACACACAAGCTGCTCTCTGTGGACTAGAGAGGGAGTCCAGGGTCATTAGGTCAGATGCTTGGATTTAGTTGGATGCATGCCACCCTGAGAAATGTCTTCAGTGGCAGGGGGGGAAACAGGAGCCACCTGCCCTCCTTTGGTGGGAATGGGCCTAGCATGAGATGTTCAGGACACTACCTTTGCACTCTAGTGTGTGTCATATCTGCCAAAGGTTCTGGATCATTTTTTTCCCTCTTGCAAATGCAGGCAGAACATGTAATTCCACTACATTAACAAACTTGATTCAAATCCTCTCAGGTCCAGCAATAAAACCAATCCTGGTCACTTGTATCACGAAGATTGCCAGACCCCAAGGCTATGTGGATGGGAATGTGTCCATAACTGAGCTGTAATCAACTACATTAACCAGGGTCGGGCTATATGGTGTGCAGGGCAAATTTTGTACTTGGGTGGCACAAGAAGTCTTCATGGCTTCAAGTCTTTTAATCACTGAGTTCCACCAGCACAGGCAGGCACTGTCTGTACATTACTTTGTCCAAAAGATCACAAGGATGGCCTCTACCAGGATTTCATTCTAGCATTTAACTGGGAAACAACAGAGAATACACATGTTTTGGGCTGCCAGCCTCATAACCCACAAATTACAAGGATCCCTTGGCTCAGCTGCTGTGCAGGCAATGCTCATTGCCTTGGGAAGTCTGACTCTGGATAACAGAAGATGATTAGCAACAGAACTCTGACAAGGAAAATCCAGTAAGGTGAACACTCTTCTGCAAGGAAATCAAATAGAAGAGGTCCCTGCTATTTGCCTAACCCCCGATTCTCCATTTAGAAGAAAGCTCTGAAACAATGTGAACTTTCATAAAGTAAACACAGCATGTAAAAAATCCCAAACAAACGACTCCTTTTCCTCCTGCGCCTCCCTTCTTTACAGCTCTAGAGACAACATCTTCTTTGTCTGTCTCACCAGCCCTCCTGCTGCCCCAAAGGTGCAGCCAATAGGTACACAGTTATGCCAAGTCTCACAGCAGGGCAAAATCATTTTCCTCTATCTTTATGTTGTGTTGAAGACAATCCGAGCTCTTTCTCTCACAACACAGGTCAGGCTTCAGGCTTCTTCCCATTTTATGTAGTCGTTTGTCAGTGTTACAGGACAGCAGTTCTTCACACAAGCAAGGCATCTGTCTTACTTCACCACTAGAGTGAATGAAGCCATCCCATCTTTTTGTTTGTTTGTTTTTAGAGTCCTTTTCTGCATGAAAGACACTCTATGCAGGCAAGAGATAATTTTACTGCATTCAGATAGACTCTGCAATGCAGTTTTTATTTGCTGTAATGTGTACTCATTATTAGTTGGCATATTTATCTGCTGCAAAGAATGCACGTGCAAATAGTATTAACCTCTTTAATTGGGGTTTTCCTCACTTCCTTTACTTGGAATTCTTTAGCAATAAGAGCTGAGATTTCCTTGCTATTGAGACTGCCAGTACAAGATCTGTTCCTTTTGTTCTCTCTCCGAGTACATAATGTGTGTGTTTGCAAGAGGCTTACTGCATTTTTTTTCTGGCAGTCACAAAAAGAGCAGTGGATTAAATATAGAATTAACTGCAGCTTTAGTACAGATGAGTCTCCTAGGTGTGAGTACACATTCATGTATAGCTCCAGGCAGTGTATTCCTATTTGTTCTGAAGCTAAAGATGCACTGCTAGCTGAACCCCAGGTGTTTTAGCCATTCTATCTCCACAATGATTTCCCCATATCAATGCTGAATTCATTCATGTGTATCAACACTCAAGCTGCCATGACTGAGGAAATGATGAGACCCTATAGCCAGCAATAAAGCCGCTCCTAAATTCATCATGGCCTGTGCTATCTTTAACTTCCTACTGCTGCAACCCCACTCCTTCTATTAGTGTTTGAGGTAGGGGGAAACAGCTGCTCTCCCAAAAAGAACCACAACCTGCCAAAGGAGTGAGAGTTCGTTAAAAAGACCAGGGCAATTTTCCATATTCTCCCGGCAGTTCTTCTTGCCCAAAGCTTTTTAACTGGAATAAGACTATTTGGGACCAAGTTTTCCTCTGTTTGATGATACAGAAAAGAAGTTGTCCACGGCACATGTTTTAACTTTGCCAAAGTTTTTCCATGTCCATTCCAAACTCATGGCTCTCAGAAGATAAAGAGGCAGAAGCACATAATGATCCTTTCCTCTTCACAGATGCCCAGTCCCACTGATTCCCTACGGTACTTTGGCATCTGGACACCTCCCTTTGGCTGTTGCAAGAAGCATTTGGCACAACAGGGGTTTGGTCTCTGGTTAGCATTCAGAAAAGTTAAGTTTTAAAAAGATAATATGCATTTAAAAAAAAAAAAAGGGGGGGGGAGGGAAGGAAAATAGAAAACCAGTGCTTCTGCCTCAAGAACAAACAAACAGCAGCATTGTTCTAGGACTGGTTTTGATATTCTGCACGCCAGAAATTGCAAAGCTCAGCATCCTGCTATAAACCTTTCACAAGCTATATTTCCACTGGCTTTCAGGATCAGGTTTTCCAAAAGATTATGTACTGCAGTCTCTCTAGGTACTTATGAAGCATGCTTATGCCATGCATGGTCTGGACATGACAGGGTTTTCAAGTAGCACAAACATATCCTCTGTTTTTTATTTATTTAGTCCATCTAATCCTATCTCTAAGGGAAAAAAACAGAAGGGTTTTATTCACTTCCTGATCTCTGATCTTGCAAAACAGTTCATAATCACTGGAGGATAGGGTTGAGGTAAACTGCAGTTGGACCTCAAGTACTTGGTCAAGGGCAGGAGAAAGAGTCCACACCCACACTGCCTCTGGAGCAGAAAGCTGATTTCAAGCCAGACCCCTCCTATGGGCTCATGGGCCAAGATCAGTTGTTCCAAAGCTTTTAGGACTGGGTCAGCTGAGTCACTAATTGCCCTTACTCCAGGGGACTGGTTGTGTGGTCACTTACTCTGTTGTGTTATGCTAACAAACAATATAAAGAGGTTGGTGCTTCATTCCCAGATCATTTCCACAATGCAGTTCCACAAACACAACAGAGAGAGTGGGGAAAGGTGGGGCAAGGATGAGCAAACACCTGTGAGAAAGGAGCATCTACAAGCTGTTCCACCAGCAGAAACACAGCTCCACTACCTACCTGCCTTATTTGATGATACAAAGCATTTGGCAGCAATGCTGACCTCAGCATGTCCCACCTAATCACCTCTGCCAGTGTCACACCCATCCAATGTCCCCTCCAACATCCACAGGATGTGGCCAGGGTTTTGTCATGCTTTGTTAGTCTGCAGCTCCACAACCCAAGGCCCAGGGTAGTCCAAAGAGGGGCCTGGCTGAGGAGCTAACAGGGGACTACAAGCATGGTAGGGAATTGGAAAATCACCAAATTATGGTTTGATAGCTATCAATACATGACACCCCTGGTGAGAGACCTAACCACATTCAGAGGGTTGTCCCACCCCAAATCAGTCAGAGATGTGCAATGGCAGAGTTTGTAGCTTGATGCTCTAAGGTTATCAGTGAAGCAGTGTTAGCAGTATGAGCTATTGGCTTGGATTACACTAACTGAAAAGAGGCCAAGTTTTAGAACTAACACTATTCAGGGACCTCAGAATCTCTCTGGACATACCTTAAGGATTTGCACACTTCACCCATGCACACAGCCCTTCAAGGGTAGCTGGCACAAAACTAGAGGCCTTCAGTTGTTAGGTATACCTAAATGGCTGTGTGAGTTAGTTAAAGTAAGTTAAAGCAGCAATCTCATACTGATGATACACCAAAAATACATTTTTCCCTTTACTTCAGCCATGAGAGAGGGCACCACTGACACTAAAAAATAGCAACTCATGCTCACACATCTTCTGTACTAGGACTACTCAAATATCATCCTCTTGTAAAGCTGCTGCTGATCAGACCTTCCAGGACAGATTTCAAACACTAAAACCCATCAAAACAATCCAGGCAATCTGCAGTTTTAGACGGAGGTTGGATCTCCCCTGCCCCTGGTTGTCCTCCCCCTCCTCTCCAAGCTGGCTTTTGAAGCACTAGCAAAGAAAAGGAAATTCCTAGAATTCCTTCATCAGCATTAGGGCTTGTTTTGCACAAACTTGGACAGAGGTTGCTCCTAAGGGGCCAACTCGTGCTTTCATCCTACTGCTGTGAGAAGTCTGCTGTTATTTATTTATTTTCCTTCCCCACCAGCTTACCCAGCCTCCTTTGGCGAGTGCAGCAGAGGAGTGTCGAGCACAGAGACGCTGACATCGCTGCTGGACTGGCTGGGTTTTAAATTACTCTCCCCCCTGGGAGGTGGAGGCTCTTTCCTTTTCTTCTTGGCAAAGAAGTTCTTGAATGTCTGAAATTTGGATTTTTTCTTTCCTGCAAGATGAGAAAAATGAAAATTTATGAAAGTTGGAGGTGTTGTCGAGCTTGGAGAATGTTATTTCTTAAATTCTGGAGGAAACCTCAAAGTTAGAGTAGCCCATTCAGTTTTAGTCAGCTCGTTTGTAAATAATTCAGTGCTGGAGTCCCGTGAAAGGTGAAGCTGCAGTTCCTGCATTTGCTGCCTATTAGAGCAAGGCTGGCATTAAGCTGACAATAGTGGTGCCTGCTTAGGTTCCACTTTATGAAAAATACACCTTCTATGGAGAATGTATCTACCTAAAACCGAACAATGACCATGCCATTCATTCTTCATATATTTTCAGTTTAAAAATTGCTATCAATGTCTTTCATTCTTACTGTTTTTCACTTAGCTTGGCTTAGTTGTGCTTTCTCTTTACTCATGCTGTAAGGAGACATCACCTGGAGGACATTCCACATTTGGCAAAAAGATTGAAACTGGCAAAAGAATTTATAAACTCTAAAATCAAATTATCTGTTTCCACACTAAACCACTGCCCCAAAATAAAATCAACAACTCCTCCAAGGACACTGAAGCAAACTTAAATGAAGACACTGGCCAGCAGGACATGAAATCCCCAAACACAGCAGCCCTCCGAATACAATTAGAAAACTGTTCATCTGATTTCAGATTTTCCATTGTCCAAATCAAAACACAAAAAGAACAAAACAAACTATACAAAACATTACTGAGCTCTTTCATTTTTAATAGCCTCACATATTTTAATATTCTTACTTATATTTCCTTCCAGCACACAAGGGCTGCATTTTGTCACTGACCCTTAGGTTGAGGGGTCACTTTTGGAGTGGTTTGGGACAAAGTATTGCACTAAGACCCCCATGATTGACTTAAATACATACACAGAGCAATAACATCACTGCATATCTGAGCCAAATTCATTGTTCGATTAATACTTTACAACATTTGGCACAATAAATGCCCACAGCTGGAAGATTCCTTCATAAGCAAGGCATTATTTCAACACAATTATTGTCTTCTCTCAGCAATGATTTAGTGGGCAATGCTCTGTCTCAACGTGTGCCCTGTACGTGTAGGGTTCTCTGCCAAAGGGCCTTATCTGGGCTGAAACTGCCACCACACAGCTGCACCACACAGTAGCCACTTTGAGAAATAAACAATGATACTGAGATCTACTCACCCTGTCTCCTCCCTGCTCTCAAGACCAGTGCCAGCACCACGTATTAGGGCATACAAGGATACTGCTACAGTGTCTGGCATGGGCTAAAGAACCAGCTACCTCTCTGCACAGCAGCAGCAGCAGCCAGGGAAGATCTGCACGTTGCTTCCCCAGTGTTTTTGGGCTGTCACTGAAATAAAACTATCTTTCAAACAATATAGAGCAAAAGCATCAAAGGAGTCCCACTCAGCTGAATAATCATGGGCTCCAATGGAAGGTTTATCAGTGGAAGATCTTTTTATCTTCCACTGCTGCTTATCAGGCAATAAGTGAATGAGATACTCACAGAAAACATACAGGTTATATTTTCTGTCCTAGACTACGGAGCTTCACTGAGGCTTTTGAATTTAAAAGGCTCTCAGGGGATTCAATGAGCTTCATGCTGCACTCACAGCAAGAACTGGTAAGAGAAGGCAGGTCACATGGGGACCAGAAGATTATAGTGACTTTCAAGTAAAACAAGTGTGTTGCATGTCCTTTAGAGAGTCTTTAGAAATTCCTCCCTACCCCTACTGCCATTTGTATCAGCAATTAGACAATGCATATGGTATTCTCCCTGTAAACTTGTCAAAGCTGAATTGGTTTATTTCAGATGAGCAAAACAAAAAAGTTTTATGAAAGCAGTGCCTCAAAGTTATCAATTCAGCCATGCCTGCAAACACAGTCCAACGACTACAAGAACAAAAAGGCAGGTGCTACTACACGCAGAGAGCCCTGCAACTTAAAGGCAGCCTAAATGAAAAAGAAGGGCATTGTCACGTCCACTGGTCAGCTGACAGTGGCACAGACAGAAGGCAAGTTTGAATCTAGTGCAAGCATTACTGAGGAGCTAAATTAGATGTTGGTGTTTCCAGAGAACCAGGGGAATGTTTAACCAAAAAACCCCCAAACATAATAACAACAAAAAAAGAAGTGACCCTGGGATGTTTAAGAGAAACAGACATAAGTCCTACCACAAAGGATAACGTTGCCACAGTAATGCTCCAAATACTTGTTTAGGTCAGAAGTGGTGCTAACTTTAGAGTGAAGCCCATGGAAAGGATCTGCAAACACTGCCAATGATTAAACCTCAGCTGGCACGGGACAGCACAGGTATCACTGTGCAACAGAGTCCTCTGATGCAGACACATCAGCCACTTTTGTGACTTCTCCAGCCCCTAATTTATTACTCATGTGCAGGGCTCCAGCAATAATTCCTCTTCAGCTGCACTCTGCTCAGCTTCACGCCTTCAGCTGTTTCAGATGAATGAGAGAACAGGGTATTCCCTGCAGCTCCTGAAGATGGGCATTTGCCTTACACAAGAAGAGATAAAATCACCACTAGACCCTGTGGTGCTGCTCTGTGTGAGAGCATTTGGCAATAAACACACAGTCCAGAAAGATGGTGTTTGTATTCATTCCCTGCTGCCAGCACTTGTGCACTGGTTTCGCACACCACAAAAAGATGCCACTCTTCATTTAAAGGTGCCCATATTTCACTGCACTGTGAACCAGCCCAACATACCACTAAATTGGTAGGGTGCTCTGTGACACTTGAACTCATAAAGTATGAGGGTCTTGTTACTTAAAATGGAAAAAAAATCATTGCATAACAAAACCCCAGTCAAAGCAAGGAGTGAAAACCCAAGCTCAGACAAGCACGCCTATTTGTCCTTCACCCATTGATAAATAATCACTCATGATTTTTGAATTCTTAAGTTACCAATCTTCAATTTTATGGCATTAAAAATAAAAGATTAAGCTGAAAGGCTACTGCCCTAAAAAGCAAAAGCCTTCCCCAAAATTACTTAGGCTAACTATGATTTAGTCCATTATAACAGGAAAGAAGCAGGAGCATTTTGCTTTCTCTCTGAAGTCTGTTTATTCTGTATTTTTCACTGTTTGTGTACTGCCTACATGATTATTGCTCCTGTGCACAGAGAGAGTTAATGTATGTCTTTCTGCTCTTTGCATGGTTCTTCCCAATAACAAGACACAAAGGAAAAAGATGTGATAAACTAGATTACAAATTTAAGAAAGCATTAGCTCCTGAGCATCCACCATTACACTTTCTTCATCCCTATCTGTCTGCCATGTGGAGTTCAACTAACAGCCACTTTACCATTTGATGCTCTCCTTTACCAATATTCTGATGGTGGCAAATATATTTCTAAAGATTAAAACAAGATGACTTTTGAAGGACAAACATTTAAGATGATTGTGAGACACTAGCCAAAGGAAAAATATCAACTGAAAAGACAGCCACTTCTCCTGATATGCCTCAGCTGCGATGCTATTCTTCATATTCACCTATCTCCTCAAGAATAGTTTGAACACTGGCAAATGCATTTCTTTTAATTACGACAACTCTTTGGCACAAGGAAGATATTTTCCTTTTTTGCCTATTATTGCATTCCCTCGTTGCTGTTTGCATCAGCCCGTGCCACTAGATTAAAGGATAAGTAACAAATGGTTGTCTGTGGCCAGAAGCAGAGAATGAGGCTGCAGTGGGGGTACTGACACAGCTCCCACAGACAGAGGCTGGCTAACAGGCTCAGCTCCCAGCTCTGTAGGATCCATCAAAGCAGGCACAATGATCAGCCCTTCAAGCTCTAACATTCTGTTTGTGAAAATCCAAGCCAGAATAAAAAAGAACATCCTCCACTAGGTTATGACCCTCCAGTACTGAACATTAGAAGATCCTTCCCATAATACTGCCAGCTAACAAAGCCACACAAATGTTTTTTTTCCCCACTACAAAAACCAAAACAACACTGCAAGGAAGTCACTGCAGCCCCCTTAAATTGAAGAAAATAAATCTTGACTTCCAAATCAGCTATAAATTCATAGAACTACTTACCTGTGCACTCTTCAACTGTCTCTCTTGTTTCAGGTGACCGTGTGACCTCTGTTGTCCCTGTAGCCATGATATAGTCACTGAAATAGAGATGAAGGAATCAGTTAAATTTTAGTCCACCTTCCCAGCAGAATATGATCCCACCCAGCATGAAGAGAGAATATGGCTGGATCCTTCCTGACACCAAACAGCCAAATGCTTATCACAAACATGGCCTGCACGCTTTTTTGCACTTCAGCCACAGAACTTTTCATCATTTTTCAGTAGCACACATTTCTCCAGCCAAAACTAACAAGCCAGTCTAATTTCTTGTCAATACCTCTGTCTTTTTAGGAAAACAGGATCAAAGCTTCCATTAATGAAAGACGTCATTAAACTTGCTCAGCAAAGACTGTAATGCTTCTTGGTCTCCTTCCTGATTGCTCTTTGTTAGTGACAGCTCAACACTACTGTAAAAAAATATCTTAAATAAGTGCTCTGCTGCTGAGGGTTCATGTATTAGTGTCCTCACAGCAGGCACCAGGCTAGTCTGTCAGCATTATTAAAATTAGTTAAGCATCAGCACTGAAGCATCATCCTGGGCTATGCTACATTTGTGGAAACCAATAGATCAAATTTATTTTGGATCCAGTGCAATCAGCTTTTAGCCACAAGCTTTGAAACCTTATCGCAAGCAGGGCTATTGATCAACCAAATTAGCTGATGGCATCATCTTCCTCCCCGATGAAAACAAAAGTTCAGCCCAGTTTTAAGATCATTCAATGTTAACTGGCTCCACTTTGTATTTTCCAAGACTCCTAACTGGGTGTCTGTCAGGAGACAAAGGAGTTCAGCAGCAGACCACAAGAGTTACAGCACAAATGTCAAGCAACAATGGAAATGTGACAGTTTAGCAGGGCAGCTCATAAATACTGTCCTTTGTTATGGAGGATAGCTAGGTGATACATTTACACAGTTAGCAGTTCAGTGGCAGGACTTAAAGAGTAAGAAATCTTCATAAACAAATGAAAACACCCAGAAACAAATCTTGCTCCCTTTTCTGTGTAGACTTCATCTACCAATTTTCCACCTCTAAGTGGTATAACAATACTGCCAAGTTAAGTATCCCAACAGCAAGCAAGATTATGATTCTGTGCTAATTTGGCCAATCAGTAAATTATTCTATTTCCCCTCTATCACCCCCATGTTCTATAATCTGTCCTGCCCAAAAGCACTGGGAGCCCACACCCTCAGGTAACCTTAAAAGATAAGGTGCACAAAATCAGAGGCAGAGGTGAAAAAAAAAAAACAACTAAATAAGTGAGCAGATCATGGAGGCTGAAGAGGCAGGGCTCCTGCAAAAAAAACCCCAGAGTGCAGAGTGACTTTCCCTGTACTAGCCACACAAACTGCCACACTGCTGTAGGTAGAAATGAAGGAGGCAGACTGCAGTTTTCTGCCATGTTTGTAAGAGATCATCTGTGAGCAGTGAACACAGGAGTGCATTAACGCACTGTAGTTTCAAACTATCTCACCTCAACTTGCTGAACTCAATGAAAAAGTCATTGCAGCAACCAGGACTGATAATACTTTTTCTAAATAAAATGCACTGAGGATGTTTTTGAAACAATTGTTAGGCAATTCTCGATAAGGAATAAAAAGAATAAGACTTTTAAGATTTTCTCTTTTGGATGATAATAACCATTCAACTCTTCTCTTTTTTCCCCCATGTCTCATCAATTATCCATGAAAACTGTCTGCATTTCCTGTGTATTTTGATAAAAGTGATCATCATCAGATTTTCTCACAGACTCTTTCACTGTATTAAAAAAAAAAAATCTACTTCAAATTTTCCCCCTCAGCTTTATACATCATGCATGCTGATTATGTTAGATTGTTCTTAAGGGAAGGGGAAATACATTTGAAATAAAACATCAAGAAGGCACTCATCAAATTTACAAGGACAAACTGCCAAGTCCCCAGATTTGAGCTTATTTTCACAGAATGTGAGTGGGCCTGGCATCTGCCTCATTTAGACCTCTAACTTCTGCTTTCCCCACCTTCAATAAAATCAAAGCAAGAGGAAAATGCTTTGTTTTCACCAGCTCTACATTTATTTAAATTACTCGATCATCTCAGCTGCTCACTCAGAATCCATCCAGCCTTTGGAGATATTTTGACTGCTGTGTTTATTATAACTGCAAGCATTTATTTCCAACTGGTATATCCTTTATACAAGTAGAACTACAATTGCAAAGCAGTTGCAATTATAGCTCAGCTCCGAGGCAGTCTCTTCACAGTCAAATCAGCTCCTGCATTAACTCGATTTTATAGCTGAGTTCTCCAGGGCATGTGGAGATCAAGTGTCAAGCGCAAGGGTGCATCAGTTGTTTGCAAATGTGCCCCATTTAGGACCTAATGGTTTGGTGCCTTTGTAGATCTCATCACAGTATCATCTTTTTCCAGTGAACTGAACAGTGACTGGAGCCAAGGGAAACCAACACAGATTTTCCCAAGCTTTCAGTCAGGAAGTATGCAAATGACAAGAAAAAATGACAGCAAAGTGTAAATTTCATCATTAAAAGCTTGATGACATACTTGAAGGAAAGTTAGCAATTAGACGACACTCAGACTTTAAATTCTGGTGGCAGTGAGTTGTGCTTCACAGAGAACAGCTAGCACATGTTCTGAGCCACAACCCCTCGCCTGGGGGTGATTGTCATGGAGAAAAAGAGGACAAAGGCCCATCAATACAAGTCCATGTGAGTGCACAGGCATTCCATGATGGAAGGTTCAGACACTCACCACTTGCAGGCTGCAATGACAGCTGCGAGGCAGCGTCAGGACGTATCAATACCGTGTGGTTTGGTTCAATCTGCTGCACCCCGTGAGCACCACGCCATTAGGGACAAAGTTTTAAACAAATACTGCATGCATATTGATTTTTAGCAATAAAAATACCAGGTTAAATAAACAGCCCTTTAGAGCAGTATTTCTGCCACTCTTCAGGCTAAGAGATGCCAGAGGACAGCAGGCTAGAGCCATCAAGGCAGAGCAGAGACAGATTGACTGCTACCAGTCAAGGAGGAGAGTTGCAAAGTCCCAGCTACTGTTTGCTTTCCAACACAAGTGGAAGAGTGGTCGCATTTCCTCTGTCTGCAACTTCCTAATCATGTTCTTAATCATCTCTCAAACTGCCTTTGCAATCCCTGCATCTGCACAGGCCTCCTGCT